CTACTTCATACCTGTAAGGTTGATACTGTTAGGAATCAGGCGACCCCTGTGAAAGGGTCGTTTGACGCCCAAAGGGGTCGCAGCCCACAGGTTGAGAACCGCTGGTCTAGCAGAATGCTCAGGTACTTGCAGACATGCAGGTTTGGCTCCCAGCAGCAGCCTGAGAGTCCCCAATCTCTCCTAGAGCTCAAAGTGCCCTTCTCCCTGCCCGTTCCCCTCCAGCTCTGCAAACTGCTGGCTCCAAACCAGGAAGAACCCCTACCTCCACCCTAACCTGCCACTCTGGGAAGAGGACTCCCCAGGGTGGTCAGCTGCAGCCCAGGATGTGTGGGCTCTGCCCACCCTTGGGCAGAGAGAGCCGTGGGGTAGGGGTGTGGCAGGTCGTCAAGGGACCCGACAGACCTGGGACAGCCCCTGCTGAACCTGGTCCATCCTGCTGCCTGGCTTCCCGCGGGGCCAGCACTGGGGACCTGCCCTGCTTGGGCTGTGGGGGGTTGCTCACACAACCCTCCACCCAAGTCCCCATCCATCTCCAGGCCAACAAGGACCCCTACTGTGTGTCGGCCAGCTGTGCCCAGGCCCAGGGGACACACCACCTTCAATGGTTTCGTTTCCTTTCACAGGCAACTAACAAACTCCATCCTGACTCCTTGACCTGGCTTAACCCTCAGTGCAGACCGTCCAGTGACGCTGGCCCAGGGGAATTCCCTTCTGGGGAGGCCGGGGGACCAGGGCCGGGCTGATTTGATGGATGTGGATGTTCGTACAGTGACCCCCTCTGCTTCCCCACCTCCGGGTGTCAGGTTCTCTCTGTGGGCGTGCTGTAAAGCCACGAAACTCCCTGCCTCGGAGTCAATGCCGACTCACAGGGACCCTGTGAGACAGGGTAGACCTGCCCCTGTGCGTTTCTGAGGCTCTAACGGTTTACGGGAGCAGGAAGCCCCTTCTTTCTCCCTCTGAGCAGCTGGTGGTTTTGAACTGCTGGCCTTTCAGATTGCAGCTCAACGCGTCACCACTCCGCCACCAGGAATCCTCTGTGGGCGTTCTGATTAGGGGGAGGGGGTCCACGGTCATATTACCAAGAATGACACTGCTTACACTGCCTTGTTTGATGGGCAGCGTGAATTCAACACCGGGCCCTTCCAGGCCCGATTAAGTCGAAGGTACCGGCAGTGTTTCAAGCAGACGGCCAGCTAGTGTTCCGGGTCGCAGGCAGAACTCGGAGTCGCTTTCTCTTGGGTGTGGATTTCTGGAGGGGACACAGATTCATTTTTGCTTCGATGGCCTGAGCTGCGCTGCACACATGACGTCACAGCCCCCAGCAAGGGTTGCAGGCCTGAGAGTTGAGAGCCGATGGCTCTCGCCCAGGTCCTGGGGACAAGACTCCGCTTCCTGGGGTTGGAGAGACTCATTTCTAACTGGGTCAAGTGCCCCATGCGCTCAGCCCACGCCGTTTCTCCGCCTGCAATTTCTCAGCTCCCCTCTCACTGAGAGAAGGTGGTAATTAGGAAGGGAGCGGGGTGTTTTGCCAAAATGCTGTGGGGACGTGTAGTCTGCCTTTCCAGGGAGATGTTTAACACATCACTCTGTTCTCAGGAATTCACTGGTTGCACAAACGGCACCTTCAGCGGTGCAGTGCATGAAAACACACACACACACACACACACACACACACACACCGGCGGCGGGGTCAGAAGTCTCGAGGTTGTCTTCTGAGCATAGGTCCCCCGATGAATCACGCAGGTCACACACTTTGATTCAAGGAGCCTGGCAGCATAGGAGTGCTTACATGATGAGCTGCCGACTGCTAGGTCAGCAGTTCGAAACCCTCAGCTGCTCCGTAGGAGACAGACGAAGCTTTCTACTCCCTATGGAGTGACAGTCTCCGGCACCCACAGGGGCAGCTCTCCTGTCCTACAGGCGCGCTGTGTGTTGGGGTGGACTTTCTGGCAGTGGTTTGGTTGTAGCTCCATTTCTGAGACACAGTGATTGGTTGTGCCTGGGTTTGGGAGACTGGAAGTTTGAATTTGGGGTGCCGGTCCTCTGTCTGCTTTGGGAAGGGTCTCACTCAGTGCCGGGGCAGGCACTCCTGGGACCACCAGGGGCCTTCATCCTGTGTGCCTCCTCCCTCCCTCTGTCCTTGCTCTGCCGGCCATCCTCGAACCCTGGCTATACTCCTTCCAAGACAAGTCTGTTATGACCCATTCACATTGAACAGTGCCACGTTTTCCCACCACCTCAAAGGTTCTGGTAGCTGTGTCTCCCCGCGCCCCACACCCCATCCTGCAGGATCATGGTCTCTTTTCCAATTTACAATCTCTGATGGGGATGAAGCGCTCGGTCAGCAAGGTAAGCACAGGCTGACTTGTGTTTACTTACTCATCAGTATCGAACGTTTCACATTTTCACCACCTCCATGATTCTGGCTGGCCTGTCTGTCTCCCCAGCCCACAGCTGCTTCCTGCAACATAGCATCCTGACAGGACGGAGTGCCCGGCCACCAAGATAAGCACGGGTTTACCTGTGCTTGCTTCCTAATCGGTATGGAGGAATTTGGAGACGCCCCCTCTGGAACTAACTGGCCACTACAGACCGGTACATAAACACAAGCAAGCCTGTGCTAACCCTGCTTACGGGCACGCCTTCCTTTCAGCGTGCAGCCAAGTGTCTGACCGGCCAGGGCTCCTTCCACACCCTGTGAGTCCCAAGTGACTCGCTGGCCGTGAGGGTGGAGTAGAGCAGCCCTGCAGGTTTTCCAAGACTCTACCTTCCTGTGAAGCACACTGCCTCGTCTTCCTCTGGAGAGAGGAATGGTGGATTCGAACCCCCGCCTTCTGGTCAGCACTGAGCCCTTAACTTGGCACTTCCAGGGCTCCGTGTGCTCGGGCTGGCAGTAGCCAGTTCTGCTCTTGCATGGGCTGAGACAAACGTGTGCACAGCACACCCGACCTTGACCTACAGTGACCCGAGGTAGAAGCTTCGCTTTCTTTCTAAGGGTCGGTGCCCAACCATCCCGGTGGCACAAATTACGCACACAGCTGCTGACCAAATGGGTCTACCATTTATGCCCAGACCCTGTCTCTTGGGGAGACACCTTGGCCATTGCTCCATCAGGATGGCGGCTTCGGCGACCTTCCTGGGCGGTTGTCACACGGGGTCGCCATCGGTGGGAGCTGACGTGAGGATGGGCAGCAGCAGACCCTTACCCCCAGCTTGTCCCCCAACAAGGCTCTCTGCTACCAGGTCCCTGAGGCCAGGCGACATGCATGCCAGCTGCCATGGGAAGCCACTCCCCCCAGGTTCCAGGAGCGAGATTTGGGGCGCTCCACCTGAGCCTCCTCTGGGGCTGCCTGCAGGCCAGGCTTGATGGTGGCCAAGCCCAAGACCCATGGCCACATCCCACAGTGAGGGAGGCTGGGAAAGACCCTTACAGTTCCGCTATGGGGAAGATGGGATTCAATGAAGCATTTCTGTCACAAGTGGGCCCGATTTTCTCTTTGCAGAATGGGCCCTCTTCACCCTGGGGTTAAGGTTCCCCCTCGGCTGCCAGTGTCGTGTCAGCAGACACTATTTCCTCAGCTGCCCAATGGGCGTGCCGGAGACCCCTTGTGTGCAGTGGCCTGAAAGGCTGCCCAGTCGTGCTGGGTTCAATCCTCACCACTGGCTGGGGGTGAAACGTGTGATCACCAGGCCTTTTTTCCTAGTCTCGGCAGTGACCCCTAGGAGGCGCCCAGGTGGTGTAGCACCTAAGCCTCACAGAGAGGTCAGTGGTTTGAGCCCAGTGGCAAGTGGTGGCTGTACAGGACATGTGCTGCCTGGGCATCGAACCTGGATCTCCCACAGAAGCCAGCCACCGTGCCATGGCCACCTGGTGCTGCCTGGATGTCTCATCCCAAGTTTGGGTGCAGAGTTCCCTGTGGGCCCAGGCTTTAACGATGTCAGTCAGGTTGAACAACACAAGGGACTAACCTGGTGTCCATGTCCTGCCCCAACACTGCTGACAGGCTAGTTAAGTCACTGTCCCAAGGAGGCCTCCCCTGACCTCCAGGCAGCCTGGTACCACCCCTTAGCAGCCCCCATCCAACTCCACCCCCTCAGCCCCTGACCAACCTTCGTGCTATAAACCTGGGGTCCACAATCCCAGGGAGACGGCAAGCTCAAGAGCAGGCATCTACCCGCTTCCCTTTGTCAGTACGCACTCCCAGGTGACCACCTGGCTCACAGCCCAAAGTTTTAGCAGCAACCACACAATAAGGGGGTGCATTAGAGTCTCCTGGGCAGAGTCAGAATCTGGTCAATGGCAGTGAAAACCCCCAAAATCAAACTCACTGCCACTGAGTCAACACTGGTGGTGCAATTGGTTACTCCTTGGGCTGCAGTCTGAAAGGTCGGCAGTTCGAAACCACCAGCAGCTCTGAGGGAGAAGGATGGGGCTTTCTACTCCTATGAACAGTTACAGTCTCGGAAACCCACAGGGGCCAGCTCTAACCGGTCCCGTGTTTTAGTTTTATTGGGCGGTGCAAACCATTTGCTGAAAGGCTGGAGGTTGGAATCTGCCCAGAGGTGGCTCAGAACAGGATTGGCTGTCACCTTTCGAAGGCACCCAAATCGAAAAACCAAATGCACTGCCATCAGTGCTGACTCATCGTGACCCCGTGAGTTTCTGGCACTGTAACTAACCGTTCACAGGGGTAGAAAGCCGAGTCTTTCTCCCGAGGAGCTGCTTGTGGGTTAGTCTGCCGTCCAATGTATAACCACTACACCACTAGGGCTCCGTTCCTCCCACTGCCAACCCCATGGTGCCCAGTTCTATGCCCGCATCCACAGACGCCATGAGTTGGGGCTGGCTTGGCAGTCAGTAGCTGGTTAGCTGGACTGCCACCACGTCACCCGGAGGTGCGCTCAGGGGACAGGTCCACCCTCCCAGGTACTTGAGCTAGGTTTCCCTCTCCCTCTGTCTGACGTCTGGTTGGGTGCAGAAAAAGACACACGCACATACGTAACAGGCTAAAATATCCAAATAAAATTTACTGCAACTTCGGTTAGAATTTGTGCTACAAGACAACGTTGCATAGGAAACGATTGAAAGCCCCTGAGGAGAAATAGTCATGGTTTAAGGTGCAGTTGGTTTTGTCGCTTCTTTGGGGAGGAGGTGGGCGGCGGGCTCCTGCGGGGATGGCGGCGGAGGGACGAGGGGCTGGGCTTCAGGTCGCGAGCCAATCGAGGCTCCCAGTTTCGGCGGCATGAGGTTTCCAGTGTGTGTGCTCTCCAGTTTCACAATGAAGAGCACCCACGCTTTGGATCCCTCAGGGATGCTGCTGCTAGGTCGTGGGATTCCAAACTTATTTCTGTCTACCACTGCCCCCCTCTCTGAAGACAAAACCGAACAACACTTCTCACGCCCTCCCTGTGCCCCCCACTCGCACCGGTAATGTGGACCGTCTTCCTATAACTGGATCCCACCATCCGGGATCAAGTGTGGGCATCTGCTTCTGTGGCCTCCCCTGCATCATGCCAGCACCCCCAGGGCTGGCATCGCCCACTTTGGACACACTGGACCAGGTCACTATCAACTAGGTCACGGTCAACATGTTTCCAGAAGGCAGGCTTTCATGGGATTCAGGGGCCCCCAGGGGCCCAATGCCACCAGGGACAGACGCAGCCGACCCCTGATGCCCCACGGAGCCATCTCGCTTCAGGTCTTTGCGAGAGATCTCACGTGTGTTGCCTGCTACTCCAAACTACACGGCAGCCAGGGGACTGAGTGCACGTGTCCCCCAACGTCCTCTCCCCACACTCCAGTCTGGTCTACAGCCCCTGTGGAAACTGACCGCTATGGCAGTAACACTCCCTGTGTACGTCCCTGATTCCACCTGAGGGGGCATAGTCTGATGATGAGAAAACCTTCCTCCCCCTCAAACCTCGTTCTACTGTGCACGATGTATCTTTCCCTTTATCCCTAAATTCCCTAAGGGAGAGGCGGGTGCCCCAGCCAAGAGAGGGATGGAACTGCAGACGAAGCAGGGGGAGAGTGGCTGCAAGGAGCCCCCACACCGGCAGAGGCGTCCCTTCTGAGACCACCAGTGTTTAGAATGGACGTGAGGAGGACTGGTGGTCATCAGGGTCATGGGGCATCCAATTTGCTCCCGAATAGCACTGTTCTCTGAGTGACTAATCACACTCAGGCAGGGGCCGCCAGGTTCCCAATGGGAACACATCCCCTGTCCAAAAAAAAAGAGAAAGGTCAACTCTCAGCCGCTTTCTGACCTATCGGAGGACCGTCTCTGTGGCACCTAACTGCTAAGGTTGGATCGAACGCTGCCCATGGAAAGTTCGGAAAAAATTCACTCGTGCTGTGCAGGATCACTTAGGATCGTGTGAGGAAAGGGAAGGAGGGTACTTAAGGTAAGGGGAGAGAGCGGGGCCCTGGGCAATCTCAGAGCAAGGCTCGTGGAACTGAAAAGCCACTTGTCCTATCTGACGTGCCCTTTCACAAGGACGGCCTGGGGAGGAGAAGGTCCAACACTGGAACAACTGCCTCCCACCAGACCTGCTGAAATGCAGTGTGGCCGGAAATCAGAAATGCCCCAGTGGCCTTAAATACATATATACATCTGTAACATAAGTTAAAAAGGTCTTCGAACAACATAAAAACCTCAACAGCATCTGTTTCCAGTAGGTGTGTGTGTGTGTGTGTGTGTTTGCGCACGCACGCCGCAGTGTAGATATATTTTTTCCCTTTTATGGTCCATTAGAAAATTAGATGATAACCTTTCTTGTGTGTTCCCCCCCACCCCACCATACCTTACAAAAAGTGATCTTCAATTTAAATGTATGTTTAACAAATAGAAAGCTCTCTGATTGGCAACAACCTGCGGTAGAAAACCCCCTTCCGCCTCCCCGGATGCAGGAGGGAAGGGGAGGAGAGGATGGTGTGTGCTTGGTCCTGGGTGTGGGCCCAGCCTGCAGGGACCCTGATGTCTGACTGTCTGTGCAGGAGCTCTGCACCCCTCCCCGGCTCCACGGTGACAGCTCACGAGCAGGAGGGGCCTGCTCAAATGACAAAGTCCTCGAGGTCCACGGGACTGAAGGCGGCGGCTCTCAGAATGTCCAGCGAGTTCACCAGGATCAGCGTGCCCGTGAGGTGTTTCCAGCGCTTGGTGATGGGGTTCTTCATCTTGTCCAGGCCGATGTGCAGCTCCTGGATGACGTCACGGTAGCTGTCCCCCATCTGGTGGCTCCAGGTCAGCAAGAAGTCGTACGCCGGTTTCCACATGGCCTGGATGTCACAGGAGGAGGGAGACGGGGAGTCAGAGGACACACACAAAGCCAACGTACACGGTTAAGTCAGGAAGCGACATGCAAGCGGTGGTGGTAGGGGGGTGTCCATCTCTGGGGGAGCTGGCGCGCCAGCTCTGGGGAGAAGGAGCACGCTGTGCTACAGCAGAGGCTTAGTCTACGCCGCCTCAGCCAACAGGTGGCGCTGTGGGTGGAAGGGTGCAAGTGCTAACCGCAAGGTTGGGGGTTTGAACACAGCAGGGGCTTCGAGGGAGAAAGATGAGGCTGGGTGCTCCAGTCCAGATGGAATCCCGGAAACCCACACGGGCAGCTCTGCCCTGCTCCGGGGGGCCACTGTGAATTGGCATGGACCCCACAATGGAGGGTTTGATGCCCTCTCTTGGGAAAGTGGCAGGGTGGCTGAGCGCTCGGGGGGCTCACGGAAGGCCGGCAGTTCTAACGTGGCAGCGGCTGCTCCCAGGGAGAAAGAGGAAGCTGTCAGGTTGGGAGAGACAGCAGCTGTTTACCCCTTGGGCCAGCTCGACTCGGACCTGTAGGGTCGCTGCGGGTCAGAAGTGACCCCACTGGAAGGGGCTCTTTTCTGTGAGCCACATGAGGGCAGGGAAGGGCGCAGACGCTGGCTGGAGACCAGCAAAGCCACCATTACACGCTGGTGCCCAGGTCCCCTGGCGGCTCACCTCACTGTCCACCAGCCCATTCCTGTCGCGGTGGGGGGACTCGTATGCGTCCATCTGCTGCTTAGAGACCTTGGCCAGCTTCTCCGCCAGCTCCCGCCAGCGCTGGGCCACCTCGACCGCCGTGGTCAGCAGTACAAAGTCCTGGATGAGGGTGACCACCAGGCCCTGGCAGTCCATCTTCAGCAAGGCCTGCGGGGAGGAAGGGGGCATGTGAGGGGATGGGCAGCCTGTCCCACCTACAATCTCAACACAGAGATGGAGCTGAGCAGCCCTCAGGCGTGTGACCTGCAGGACCTGGAAGTGTCCCTGGACTGGTAGGCATGGCCCCCACAGGGGGAACAGGGAAGCCCCCTGTCCATCCCACCCGCACAGAGGGGGCATCCCTTGACGAAGACAACCAGATGGACGAGAGGCCGGGCTGGGTGTCGATGATTCCAGTCAGACTGCCAGGCAGTGGCTGAGTGGTGACTGCTCCCAGGAGTGAACTGCAGGCTGGGGCCCAGACACCCTGGCTTGGGAGGGAGCCGAGGGCTCATTCAGAGAGAGGAAAGAGACCAGGAAGAAGTGGAGACAAGTCACACCTGGCCCACCATGGTCGGATCAAAAAACCCCAGCCCCGAGAACCCACAAAGCATGCCCTCAGCTCTCAAGGGACGGTCCACAGCCTCTCCAGTCCAGAGCCACAGGATGTCCGGGGTGTCCTGCACACACCCCGCTTCCTGGACAGTGGGACACAGGGAGAGGCCGGCTTGGAGGGGCCAGGCACAGCAGAGCCACTCAGACAGACTCCTTTCCCTCCTAGGAAGAAGGGTGGGCCCACAGGCTTCCAGCATCGGGGTCAGTGGCCCAGGCATGCTGCTGGGCCCCAAGACTGCTGGCTCAAATGGGCAATGGAGCCAGCTGCTGCCCAACTGTGACCAGGTAAGTGAGACGTGACCGCCGCCACTATGGCCAGGTGAGTCTAGTGTCGGCTGTAATTACCCACGAGGCTTACCAATGAAGTGGAACAGGATGACCTCACCCAGGGGAGCCCCAGGAAGCAGCAGGCATAACATCTCTGCCTTCTGTCCCTTTCCACGGCCAGGCCACAGGCAGCCTATCTCGCCTGCCCTGTAGGACCCCTTCAGGGGGGCTTGGGGAGTGGGCGTGGATTCCCCACTAACAGGCTAACAGGCCTGAGAGGCATGTTCTGGGGTAGGGGCATGTTCTGGGGTGGGGGCAGCTCTGAGACCCTGCAGGCAAGAAGCCACTACCAGCCCTTGGACCCAACAGCCGCCCATGCCCGCCGCCCTCCCGACTGTGCAGCATCATGCCCGTGGGGCTTTCGAAGGCTGGACTGTCGGGAGATGGCCAGGATTTTCTCCTGAAGGGCCTCTGGGTGACCCTGGACTCCCAGCCTTTGGGCTGAGCAGCCAGTTTGTACCACCTAGTGTCTCAAAGGCTCTCCGAGCAGAGATTGGTGACTTCCTGTAGACTAGGTTCCACATTGGCTACAAACTAGGGGCTGGGGCTCTTTCTGTCTTCCCCCACCCTCCGTGCCCAGTAACCCACTGGGTCCCAGGGTAGAACGCCAAGAGAAAGGGCGCGTAAGAAACGCAACCTCGGCCCGTGCCCCCAATGCAGCCAAATGCACAGCTCTGCCGAAGGTTGAATTCGTGCTGGGGCAAGTTTGTGCTCGGCCGCTCCCTTCCTTTCGGAGCCCTGGTGGTGTCGTGGTCATGCGTTGGGCTACTGACTGCAAGGTCGGCAGTTCAAAACCACCAGTCTCTCCAATGGAGAGAGACAGGGCTTTCTACTCCTCTCCCCAGAGTTCCAGTCTCGGAAACCCACAGGGGCAGCTCTACCCTGCCATCCAGGGTCGCCCTGAGTCCACATCGACCGGGCAGCGGTGAGTTTCCCGAGTGACAAACATCACGAGGAGTCCCTGGGTGGAAACACAATGCAAAGCGGGTGACTCATCTTGGAGAGGCTGGCAGCTCAAACCTGCCCGTAGCACCGGGCAAGAAAGGCCCAGCGACCTGCTTCTGAGAGGTCACAGCCGAGAGAACCCTGCGGAGGGCACACAGGGGTCACCGGGCGGTGGGCGATGGGCCTGGCATCAAGACTGTGAGCAGGCTCTCGCCAAGAGCACCCGCGTGGGTCGCCGCCCCGACCAGCTCCCCTGCGCCCTTGCCCCGGGCGGGTGGCGGCGTCCCCCACTCACCATCATCAGCTCCTTCTGGAAGGACTTCCTGTCCTTGGCCTCCAGGCTGTTGCAGTCCTCCTTGAGCTTCTCCAGGACGGAGGCCACGCGCTCGGCCTCGCTGCCCAGCTCGGCGCGGCAGAAGGCGGAGAGCGGCAGGCTGCCGTAGCCCAGGGCGTCGGCAAAGGCCCGCCAGCTGCTGATGTTCTCCATGAGCAGCGTCCGCACAGAGGCGTAGATGTAGGTGAGGAACTTGCAGGGCCGCAGAATCTGCTCCAGCAGCAGCGAGGTGCTCAGCTCGGGGCCCGAGAAGGAGCTGGGCCTGGCCTTGCCCACCACCAGCACGTTCTTGGCGTGCACCAGCCCCACCTTGCCCTGGTAGTAGCCGATGTACCACTCCTTGGTCCACAGCTGCCCCTTGAGACGGATCTTCTCCTCGCTCAGCAGGGCCATCACGTCGCCCTTCTTGTACTCCAGCAGGTAGTGGCTCTTACTCTGCCTCGCCACCGTCTTGAGCAGCTTGCCGAACTTGAGGCTGCCCACGGGGCGGTCCTGGAAGGTCGGGTACTTGGCGCTGGCTGCCAACGGGGAGAGGATGATCTTGCCGATCTCGTTCTTCTTCAGGAACCGCCGCTGCCCGGATGGCTTGACGGCGCTTCTGGGGGGTGGCGGGGGCGTCTGGATGCAGAACTGGGTCAGGAGGGCGCCCCGATCGTCCTTCACCTGCAGCCTCAGCGTGAAGTCGGACAGCTCGCTGGGGCTGTGGGCGGCGATGGGGAACACCAGGCGACTCATCTTCCCCAGCTTCATCTGGAAGCCCCGCACCACCCTGGCCTGCTCGCCGGCCTGCACCTCGTAGAGTGTCCTGTTGGAGAACAGGCAGATGTGCAGGTCCTGCGGCTGGGCCAGCACAAACTGGTGCTTCCCCCAGAGCTGCAGCGCCACGGGGGCAGGGCTGGGGGCCTGGCAGGTGACCTCACTGACCAGCAGGGTCTTCGGGGCGCAGTCGTGGCCAAAAAGGGTGACCACGGTTTTGAAGGACGGGTGGATGTGCTTGGGGCCATACAGCCCCACGGTGACCTTCTTCCTGATGAAGTCCCACACGGTGGACGGGTACAGCACGCTGGGGCTGTGGGCGACGATGGCCAGGTACATGCAGGGCTCCAGGTTCTCCAGGTGGACCTGGACCGTGTCCCCGTAGCTGTAGGCCAGCGGGATGGGGGCGTAGGGCCCCTCCTTGGAGTCGCTCCGCAGGCACTGGAGGCCCGCGGAGCTCCTGCTGAGCGCATCGTTCCTCACCTCGGCGGACACCTTCATCTCCAGGACGAGGGCCGTGCGCACCTCCAGGGTGCTCAGCTTCACCTCCAGCACGGGGCTGACGCTGCTGGTCTGGTCACTGTTGAGCTCCAAGGGCGGGTCCAGCAGCGCCCGCATGGAGATCTGCTGCGTGTCGCCGGGAGCCACGTGGCCCTCGGGCACGTGGATGGTGACGCCGGTGTCGGGGAGCTGCACGGCGCCCCCCGCGCCGTCCAGCTTGCACACGATGCTTGTCTCCACCGCCTGCGTCTGGCCCCAGCCGGGGCTCTGGCCAAGCAAGTCCAAGTCGTGGCAGGAGCGGGCCAGCTTCCGATGGTGCAGCCAGGCCGTCCGGAAGTCCTCCCGGCTCTGGAACTGCTCGGGGACGGGTGCCTTCAAGCCGGCGGCGGCGGCGGCGGTGGCAAAGAAGCCCGAGCCCGCGGGGGCGTCGGCCTTGGCCTGGAGGACGGAGAGCTCGGACAGGCTGTAGGAACGCTTGCTGCGGAAGAACGGGTTGTCTCGCCTGACCGGTGGCTCAGCCGCGGGCTCGTCGCAGATGTCACCAGTGCTGCTGGCAGCGGCCGGGCTAGACTCGTTGCACAAGGCGGTGCCCCTGTCAAAGAGCAGCAGGTCCACGGCACTGGGGGGGCTCAGCTCGCCCAGGCTGGGTGTCAAGGGCACGTTCCCGTTCAGGAAGGGGTTGGTCTGGACCCCGTTCCAGAAAGGGTTCTTGTTCCTGAAGGCGCCTTTCTTGTCGTCCGTCCAGCTCCCGAGCAGGTCCAGTTCCTGGGCCACCTCTTCGGGGCTGTCTGGAAGGTTGTCAATCACGCCGCTGTCGCTGAGGGTGGAGTTGCGGTAGTTCAGGGGCTGCACGTGGGAGGCGGGGATGTAGCCCATCTCCGTGGTGTTGTGGGCGTACCACCACTCGCCGCCCGAGGCGTCCAGCACATAGAGGTGGTCGCCCTTGGAGAACTTCAGGGTGGTGAAGTTGGTCGGGCAGTAGTCCTTGATGGCCACCACTTCCTTGGCGTCGCCGAAGGGCGCAGGGCTGTCCGAGAGCAAGGCACTGGAAGAAGGCACTGGAGGAGAGAGGCACGGAGAGGCAGGCGTGAGAGCAAGCCACGGGTAGGCCACCGCACGTACCCCCCCCAATGAGGGACAAGTGGGCCTGGGAACCGGCGTCACCGCCCAGGCCACCGGCCGCTGGTTTCCGGGGAGCCAGCGAATCACCGCCAAACTGTGCTGCTCGGGCTTGCGATGGCCAAGAGTTCAGGCAGGGGACCACCGGGCCTTTGTTCCGAGGTGCCTCTGGGTGGGCGTGGACCCGCATCTTTGGGTCAGCGAGTTAACAGCCGAGCATGTGAAGCATCTGCGCTACCCACGCAGGCAGGCACGCTCTTTCCCAAGAGAAAGAAACCCAACTTGTGACTGTAACTGTGGATGTTATGACAGCCCTAAGAGCTCCTGATAAATGAATGAAAACCAAAAGAAACCAAATGGACAGTGGCTAGATCCCTTGTCTGGCCAGCAAACTGGCTAAGGACACCCGTGGTTTCACTGCCCCTGGCCGCTTCCCAATGGAAGAGTCCCTGCCAGCTGGATAGGCCCCCTGGGAACCCCAGCAGTGGAACCAGCACCAGCCACACACTGTCAGCATCTCACTGGGACCTGCCTTTCCCTTCGAGAAGGGATCAAGCACCGTGGTCACTGCAGAGGCCTTGTCTCCCACACAAGACACCAGGAACCCCGGGGATGCAGGGGGTCACCTGGTGGCCCGCTAACCTGGCGGTCAGTCGTTCGAACCTACCGGTCTCTCCTCAGCATCAAGAGGAGGCAGTCTGCCCCGTAAAGACCGGCAGCCTCTGAAACCCCAGGGAGCATGTCTACTTCCCGCGAGTCGGAGTGGACATCATTGGTCTGGTTGGCTGGCCCATGCAGGAGGCCCAGGTTCAAGGCCTCTCTGGTCAGTGGGGAATGCACGCTGTTGGGTACCAAGCAGGTCTCAGCACTGTTCTGAGATGAAGGAAGACCCGCTATTTTACTCCCTCAAACCAGCCAATGACAGACAGACAACCCGAGCTGACTGGTCGCGGGAATGGGCAGGGCCTGGCGGCATTGTGTTACATCATTTGGGGGGGGGGGGGGGGTTGCCTCGGGCTGGTGGGGCTGACTCAAGAGGCCATGAACAGTCTCCATCCTACTGACTCGGGACACCAACGGCGATGCCCTCAATCCAGCGCATGCAGGCAGGGACGAGGGTGAAGATCCCTCCCCCAGGCGGACACACTGCTTCCAAACCCTGACCTCAGTACAGACAGACAGATGGAGAGCTGGCCTTGGGAAGGGGACCTCTTTTTTGGTGTCACTTACTACAGCCCCGTCCCTGGCGCTTACCCATGGTTGTGCTACATCGCCCAGCACCCAGGATCAGTGTGAGCACCCTGGATCGTTTCAGCACCACCACCGCCCCGCCCGGGGGGCGGTATCACCCACCTTGAGAAACGTTATGTCCAGGAAGGGGTTGGACCTACAATCAAAGAGACACTGACATCGAGTGGATGCCAACTCACAGTGATCCTATGGGGCAGGGTAGACCCGCCCCTGTGGGTTTCTGAGACTGTCCCTCTTTATGGGAGCAGTGAGCCTCGTCTTTCTCCCATGGAGTGGCTGGTGGTCTCAAACTGCCAACCCTGCCGTTAGCAGCCCAATGCTTAACCACTGCACTACCAGGGGCTCCTTTCTCTGACCCTGCTACGTCCTCATGCTGAACCCCACCATGCCGGGTGCTGCTGGTGAGTTTTGCGTGTCCCTTGTGTCCAGCCTGCTGCGAAGCAGAGGGTGTCCTGGGAAGGAGGGTTGGAATTGGTCAATGGGTTTGAGGGTGGAGACAGGTCTGACCTTACTGGATTCAGCCTTTGGCTGCTGACTTTGACCCGACCCCTCACCCCGCGGTGACATTTCTACACTTCCATTGACAACAGAGATGAGTCCCCAAGGCTGCGGGCGCTGGGAGTGCAGACACACTGGACAGTCTGGGGAAAGCTGGGCAGGAAGGACAAGGCAGACAGAGGTGAGAGCTCTTTGAGGGGCACAGAGGGGGCAGTGTGAGTCCACCCACAGGTGGCTGGGAAGAAGGACCTGACCATCACTTCCACAGAAATCACCCCTGAAAGCCCCTTGGGACACCAGGGTGCTGAGGGCTGGTTTCCTCGGGTCCAACAAAGCAAACAATAACCCCCAAAGCCAAGTTCACACCGGCCTACAGAGCCCCGAAGGGCAGAGTGGCCCTCTTCCAAGGGGTTCCCCAGGCTGAAATCTTTACGGACCCAGACCGACTCAACTTCCTCCCTCAGAGCGGCTGGGGGGCTGGAACCACCAAGCCTTTTAAAGAGATGGCAATTCCAACAAGCTTGCCCGCCAGCGGAAGTCTGGTGAGAATTCTGCCCAAGGCTTATCTCTGCTCTGTTGCCGGAAGCAGGCCCTCCCAGCCTTGCTTTTGAAATTCAGCAAACAGAAGATAGAAAGGCCTGCTCTGCAGGAGCATCCAGGCGGGATGAAGGCAGACGGAATGATGGCGCACGCACTCTGGTGCGAACAGAAGCTGCCCGCACTTCACTCCAGCTTCGGGCTCAGCCAGCCCCTCCCCACCCAGAACCCCAGTGGGCACAGACTTGGGCAAGGGCCCACCCCACCCCTCCCCACCCTGAGGGGTGCCGTGTCAGCCACGTGCGCCATGCCCGCTCCACAGCATCCTCTTGAATGCTGAGGCGTGCTGCCCAGAGGCTCGGCTGCCTTGATTTTAATCTAAAAAACCGTGTGCCAGGGATAACTGGTGCAGAATACAACCTGCACCCCTATCCCTCTGCTAGGTTCTGGGGCGGGAGATGTCATAGGAGATAGTTTGGCTGGAATAAACCCTCTGATGTGTGTGAAGTCCCCGGCTGCTGCCTGGACCACACCCTGCCTCTCGTTGGTGCTGCCCTGGGGACCCTGGCCCAATCCTCGGAGCTGCCCAAGCCCAGATGCTCACACCCCTTGCTCTTCTACAGATGTGCAAAC